TGGATAGACCGGAGATGAATGGCCTTGCTGAGACCCGAATATCATGCCATCATCTCGTTGGGACTGCCCATTGAGCCTGAAGATTCCCATATGGTAAAATCCCGGCGTAAGAGTTCGACAATATGAGCACATGTGAATTTTCTTTTCCTTCGTCTCCTCGCTCTCATGGTTAACGATAGCTTCACTTTCGCCGCTGGGCTGCCGCACGAACTATGACGTGTCTTGACGTGAGGGGAACTTATTCGTTTTTCGAGATTAGGTTCGACTCACATATAGCAAATGTAAGAATATTGTGAATCTCATCAATGGGTGGCATCAAATCGTTACTCAGATTGATCTATCGATGTCAACCTCAGTGCGACGCTCGGAACACGCCTCTACAGTATGACCTTCACCTTTACGTTTGCCCTAGTGCTGTCTACAATGCGCGGGAAAATACCACTCCATACGAAGCAGCAGGACGGAGCCATGTACCCGATTGACTTGAGCGGAAAGACCGGCATCGTGTTCGGCATGCGAACCACCGGAGCATCGCGTGGGCCATCGCGCACATACTGCATCAAGCCGGCGCCGAGCTTGCAGTCGCTTACCAGAACGAGCGAGTGCGTGGCGGCGTCGAAAAGCTGGTCGCCGACTGGGGAGGCGACACGCAGACCATCGAGTGCGACGTGAGCGACGACGCCAACGTCGAGGCCGCGATTCAGCAGGTGGGCGACAGGTTTGGGAAGATCGATCTCGTCGTCCACTCCATCGCCTTTGCCGACCGCGAGGACCTTGGCGGGGCGTACATTAAGACGGGTCGCGAGGGGTTCCGCACAGCCCTCGACGTCAGTGCCTACTCGCTTATACCCATCGCGCGGTACGCTTCCGACTACATGACAGAGGGCGGCAGCATCCTCGCGATGACCTTCCAGGCGGCGGAGCGCGTATTCCCGGGGTACAACGTGATGGGCACGGCGAAGGCCGCTCTGGAGAACGCCGTAAAGCAGCTCGCCTCCGACCTCGGCGAGCAGAACGTGCGAGTAAACGCCATATCCGCCGGGCCGCTCGACACTCTCTCGTCCCGAGTCATCAGCAAGTACCGGGACATGAAGCGCGTGCATGCCGAGCGGTCGCCCATGAAGCGCAACATCACGTCCGAGAGGTCGCCAAGACGGCGCTGTTCCTGTGCAGCGACCTGTCCGAGCGGCGTCACGGGCGAGATCGTCCACGTCGACACCGGCTACAACATCATGGGAATCTGAGGCCGTCGGACCTACGCTGCATGTCCACTACGAGTACATCTACATCGAAGTCGAGGACAACGAAAACTGCGACTATATGCCCATGCAGGTCTACGAGCCGCAAGCCGAGCCGCGGCCGTCACGCGCGTACTACTCGAAGACCCTGACCGTCCGCACGGCGTCTACGAGGTGACCGGCTGGAGCAGCGAGGGGGACGGAACGCCCGTCGAAGCAGCGTACGCGCCCGTCTCCGACTCAGGTCAAGCAAGGGCGCATCTCGTCTACGGGGGTGACTGGGGCGTTCGCCTGAGACCGGTGGGGCTCGATGAGGAGTGGGACCTCGCCAGCCCGAACCAGTTCGGCGAGCCGTACCTCATCCTTTTGGATGACGGTGCGATCGAACCGGGTACGTAGTAATTTCGTGATCTCCATCCCACCTGTATAGGCATGGAACTATGCAATTCTCCCGGCAACTCCGAAAGCGCGTCCTAGATGCTATGCTATTAGTTGAGCTGAGGTGATGGGGGAGACACGACTATGGACAGCATAACGCTCGAAAACTTCCGATGTTTCCGCGAGAGGCAGACTGCCCACCTTGCCCCTCTGACCCTTCTCGTAGGTGAAAACAGTACAGGTAAGACTTCACTCCTTGCGCTGATCCGTGCGCTCTCTGATCTAGCATATAGCTTTCGGAGCCCTGACTTCAAAGAAGAACCCTACGATCTCGGAAGCTTTGACGAAATTGCTCATCACCGGGGCGCTAGAGGCAGTCAGGCCGATAGGTTTAGGGCAGGATTCAAAGTTAAGGGAAAGAGCAAGAAGCAATCATCGGTTGGATTTGATTTCACCTTTGGGAAGAGCGGAACTATCCCTGTACCTGTGAGACGGCGTATTTCTCGTGGAAGGACTTGGATACGTGAGATATTCCGAACTTCCCGAACTTACACGCTAAGTGCTGGTACCGCAAATGGCTCATGGCAGGTACAGGTTTCGGACGACCTCGAAATCCCGTCCGTCGTAGAGGGAGATTATATTTTGCCTCTCTACTATTTCCTATTGGGACGCGTTTTGAGGAACGGACATGCCGATGAAACTGAATTTGTGCCACTGGACGGAAGTCCACCCAATGATACGGTAGACATCAAAAGGATTAGAGATTTGTCGCGTAGACACACGCGTGTCCAGCATGAGCGACCGTTTGCGAGCGCACCAGTCCGCTCACAACCTAGTCGTACCTATGATCCCTCGCGTCCTACCTTGGACTCAGGAGGTAACTACGTTCCCATGTATCTTGCGGATGTGTATTCGCGAGACGAGGAAACATGGAAGGTTCTGAAGCAACGGCTCCAAGACTTTGGGAATAAATCAGGTCTTTTCGATGATATCTCGATCAGGAGACTTGGTAAGAAGGGTAGTAGTGAGCCTTTCCAGGTGCAGGTAAAGAAAGGTGGCCGAGGTCTCAAGGGCCCTTGGCGTAACCTAATTGATGTTGGTTATGGCGTCAGTCAAGTTTTACCCGTGATAACGGAACTACTACGTCCTGACGCGCCAGACGTTTTCCTGTTACAACAGCCAGAGGTGCATCTACATCCCAGTGCTCAGGCCGCTCTTGGAAGCCTGTTCTGCCAAGTCGCCGGACCAAATCGCCAGCTGGTCGTCGAGACCCATAGCGACCACCTACTCGACCGTGTGCGAATGGACGTCCGCGATGGTAACCACTCCCTGAAACCTGACGACGTCTCCATATTGTTTTTCGAGCGCGGTGACTTAGACGTTCACATCCATTCGCTGAGAATCGACGAAGAGGGGAACATAGTGGGAGCTCCCGACAGCTATCGCAGTTTCTTCATGGAAGAGACAGCGAAATCCCTAGGGCTCTGAACTATGTGCGCGATCCTGGATGCGAACGTCTCGTCAGAAGTGTTTGGCCACAATCGACCTCAGGCTGGTAAGGGATTCTTTGATTGGATCAATAGCGGGAGTGGTCGCTTGGTTGTCGGTGGCAAGCTGTATGATGAGCTCAAAAGGAGTTCGGAAGGTTTCAGAAATTGGGCAGTTCAGGCCCGCCTTGCCGGAAGATTGAGAGAAGAAAACAAGCGTAAGGTCAACACAACTACAAGGGAAATCCAACGTGAAGGGGAGTGCAAGTCGAATGACCCCCCACGTTCTTGCCCTAGCCCAGGTAAGCGATGTCCGTTTACTCTACTCTAACGACGGCGACTTGCAGCAAGATTTTGGAAACAAGAGTCTCATCGACAACCCTCGTGGCAAAGTCTACTCGACAAGACAGACCAAGAGCTATACGACTACCCACAAGAGTCTACTCAGGCGGAAAGATTATGCAGAATCGTCCACTGACTGCCCACCATCCACACGTGATTGTCGACTGCTATCCCAAGCTATCCTCGAACTCGATGAGTTCGTCGATGATCTCGTTTGCGACACGCAGGTGATATGCGTCGAACGGGAGGATCGGTTGGCGGGCGCGCGCCGTCGTGAACAGGCCGCGGCGGTGTGAGTAGAGCTTGTAGAAGTGGACCGAGATGTCGATGTGCTGGTGCGCCCATGCCAAGTAGGGCAGCGTTCGGGTGAACAGCGCGGCGGCCTCGTCCCGGTTCCCCTCGCGGTAGTGTCGGAGGATGTGGACGAACGGCTTGTTTATGGCCGTGGTGGTTACGAAGCTCGTGCCGCGGTCGAGCGCCTCGATTAGCTGTGGCAGCGACCAGCCCGTGCCGACCGGCATCATACCGTCCGTCGCCTCGATGATCTGCGTCATCTTGTATCCCGCCGGCACCGTCTCCAGCTTCAGGCACACCGAACGACTCGATCTCCTCCCACAGCTCGCAGATGGTGTCGAGCCCCATGCCGTAGCCATTCCAATGCAGGTCCTGGATCATGAGCATCGGCAGGTCGACCTCCGCAAGCTCGTGCATGAAGGCCTTGACTTGCTCCTTGTCCTCGATGATGTCCATCGGCGCCTGGCACAGGACTCCGTCGGCCCCCGCTTCGACCGCGTGACGCGCGAGTCGCTAGGAACGCCTCACGTCAGGGTCGCTTACGCCGGCCGTCACGTGGATTCGCCCGTCGACGATGCATATGACCTCTTCGACGAACCTCGTCGCTCCTCGTCGGAAAGCTTGGTACCTCGCTGGCGACGGCGGGCATGATGCAGCCCGACACTCGTCCTCGATGCTCCGCTCGATGAGCCGTTCGAGGGACGGGAAGTCTATCCGGTCGTCCTCCGTCCATGGCGTATGGATGATCGGGACGACGCCTGAGAGAGGGTATGCGGTCTTGTCAGTCACCCGTGCGTCCTTCATGCACGCTGGCGACCTCTACTGCGAACGCATCAACATCTCGTCGGAGCCCCGTGCGCCCATCAATGACAGGCCCACCGGCAGGCCGTCCACCTTCGCGAGAGGAAGGTTGATCTGCGGGCACCCGGTCATTCCGCCGATGCACGTGAGACGGCCGATCCGCACACCCAGCTCTTGCCGCTCAGGAACGGGCATATCGGGCAGGGGCGCCGGCGCGGGCGACGATGGCATACAGATGATCGCACCGTCGCCCAGCAGGTCGTTCACTCTGCTCCTGACCTCTTGGCGCACGGCGTTGCTCGCGGCCACCTGATCTGCGGTTACCGACATGCGGCCAGATAGCGTATGGCGACCTCGAACGCGAGGCGCGGATTTGTCTGCTCGATCCAGTCCCGCTGCGTGTCCCACGCTTCGCGCATCTGCAGGTTTCTCTGGTGCGTCATCCAGCAGTCGATGCCCTCCGGCGCCACGCGAACGGTCGCTGGTCGCCGACCATTCCGGCGATGGTATCCACCAAGGGGAGAGGGCCTCGCGGACGTTCTCGTCGACCACCTCGAGAGGTCCTTCGACTACGATGAGGCGTTTGGGCGTGGTGCGGTTGTGGCGATTGCAGGATCACTCGCCCAACGCGTTCGAACGTCACGGCGTCACGCGCGAACCACCCGACCGTGTCGAAGCTCGATGCCTGCGGGAGCACGCCGTCGAGCGATATGCGGCCATGGGGTTCGGTCGCATACCGTACAGACCGCAGAAGCTGGAAGGCATCCGCACGGAGCCTCCGGTGTCGGAGCCGAGCGCGAAGTCGACAACGCCGCCCGCAACCGCCGACGCCGACCCGCTGGACGATCCGCCGGGAACGCGACCGGGGGCAGCGGGGTTCACAGGTGTTCCATAGTGCGGGTTCCGGCCCAGGATGCCGCGAGTTAGCTCGTCGGTGTGCGTCTTCCCGACGAGCGTCGCGCCTGCGTCCAGCAGCATTTGGACGGCCGGCGCGGTACTTTCGGCGGGCCCGTGCGTGCGCTGCCAGTCAGGATTGCCTCCGCCGGTCACGTGGCCCGCTACGTCGAAGATGTCCTTCGCGGCAAACGTCATGCCGGAGAGCGGCCCGTCAGGAGCGCCCGGAACGTGGACGTCCAGGTTGGCGAAGGCGTTGAGGTCGTCGGTCAAAACACCGTGTTGGCCCATACGCCTACAGGAACCTGAAGACGCCGGACGCGGTGCGTCCCATTACCCAGTTGCGGTCCTGGGGGTCGCTGAGCAGGGGGTCGTCCATGATGCCGCGCAGGGCGTTGCGGTACCCCTCGCGGTTGCCGACCGGGGGGTAATCGCTCCCCCACATCGTGCGCTTGGGACCGAACGCCTCGAGGATCATCTCGACGAACGGCGGCGTGTGGTCAAAGCGGAAGTCGGAAACGAGGGTCGGCGGGCGGTGGCTGATCTCGCCAAGACCGCCCAGCTTGATGTAGACATTTGGTAGCTGTGCGACTTCGAGGGCCTGGCCGAATTCTTCGTATGGCTCCTCCATGTCGGCGGTTGCCCCGGCGAAGTGCTCGACGACGACCGGGACTGGTTCCGGCAGTCCATCGACGAGCTCGGCAAATTCCCCTGAAGCGAATGCCGCCACGTCCTGACGACAGCTTACGGCGAGGCCGATCTCGGAAGCGGCCTTCCACAGGGACAGAGGAGAACTCGGCGTAAGGCGTACTCCCGTGACCCCACGCTCGGCCCAGCCGGCCAGATCATCCGGCGCGGAGGGGGACGCCTCGTCGACCATTCCGACGACCGAGAACCGTCCATTGTGGCGCGCGGCGCAGTCCAGAAGGTACGCGTTGTCGTACATGCCGCCGTGCTGAATGAGGACGCTCTGGACGCCGTTCGCGTCCATCTGGTGGATCAGCGTTTCGACCGGCTCGAACCAGCTTGTTCCCGCGTGAGTATGAGAGTCTACGATCACGTGCAGTCACCCCCGAAGGCATGTGGCTGCATGATACGCGCGCGGGGCGCGGTTTGACAACGAGGGGGACTAATTCGCAGTCAGTAGGGCGTATAGGCAGGGCTTGGAAGGTGAATAGCGGAAGGCGAGGGAGTTCACAAAGCGTGGAGGAGCCGTTTCTGTAACATTTGATAACATTTTGTCACTATCTACGGAAGGCGAGAGAGGTCACAAGGCGCGGAAGAGCCGTTTCTTGTAACATTTCGCAGCATTTTGTAAGTCTCCTCTGCGTCGTCGTTTGGACGAGCGCTTGGTCCTCTCGTCATCCCGGAATCATAATAGATCATCTATTCTTATTCGTCAAGTCGGATCCGGTTCTCCTCGGGTCGTGCGCCTATCTGTTCAGGGAGCCCCTTGAATTAACCGTCATTCGGGCGAAAGCCGGCAGCGAGGCACCTTGCAGAAGCGGGCTTTTCACCCTCACCCTTCGGGGGCTGACGGGGGTATGTACTTGACTATCGACCCACTCTCCATTCATGAGAAAGTAGTCCCATCACTGTCATTCTGAGCGAAGCGGAGTCGAAGAATCTAAAGTGTCCGCCCGAAATTAGAAAGTCGACCTTGAGAGTTCGTTTACTGTTTTTCACCATTAGTCATGAGAGAAACGTGGCACTGGCTGTCAGATCTTGCGGTTATGGACTTTAGATTCCTCGCTGCGCTCGGAATGACAGGAAGCGGTGGACGGATCATAGCTGCAATTCCGTCTTAACCACCTCAAACAGCCAAATCCACCGGAGTTTGACGGTCTGCCACACCACGCCTATACTCGCCTCACGCACGACTGTCAGGAGGCGAGCATGGCGGATTTCGACGGCAAGGTTGTCATCATCACCGGGGGCGCGCTCGGCATAGGGCAGGCGACGGCGTGGGAATTTGCCAAGGAGGGGGGCGAAGGTCGCCATTGCCGACGTGAATCGCGAGGCGGGAGAGGCGACGGCCGCGTGGAGCGTCTGCGACGAAGGGCTGTTGTGCCAGCAGGAGTTGTCGGACTCGTCGGAGTGCAGACGTGTCGTGGAGGCGACAGTTGAGCGGTTCCGTGGTGTCGATATCCTGTTCAACAACGTTGGCATTCAGCCGCCAGCGTCGTATGTGAACGTCGAAGACACGCCGGAGGAGATGTGGGACCGCATTATCGGCGTAAACATCAAGAGCTGCTTTCTCATGTCGAAGTACGCCATCCCCGAAATGCGCAGGCGTGGGGGCGGGTTATCATCAACACCGCGAGCGTGCAGGGCTTGCAGTCGCAGCCCCTCGTGCCTCCATACGCCGCGAGTAAGGGTGGAATCCTCTCACTGACGCGGCAGATGTCTCTCGACTACGCCAAGGACAACATCCGCGTGCTGGCAGTCTGTTCCCGGGCAGCATCGACACGCCGATGCTTCGTGCCGCGGCCCAAGTGGGAGGTGGGGACCCGGACGAGGTAGTCAGTCAGTGGGGGGCGGCTCATCCCATCGGGCGCGTCGGCACCGGGCAGGATATCGCGAATGCCGTGCTCTTCCTCTCCAGCGAGAAGGCCAGTTTCATGACAGGTGAGCACGTCAACGTCGACGGCGGATACATGGCGCTCGGCGCGTGGGCAACGGCCGCTACGGACTGATTGGCGTTCTCTCCCTCGGAAACGAGGGTTATTCTTCGCCGCCGAGGGACTGCTTCAGCTTGTCGAACCAGCCTTCGGGTGTGTCGCCATGGTCGACTGAGCCGTCGTCGAAGGTCTGGGCAAGCTGTATGAGCAATTCGCGCTGCTCATCGGAGAGGGATTTGGGGGTCTCGACAATCACCGTCACCAGCTGGTCGCCGCGCATCCGTCTGTTGCCGAGATGGGGGATACCCCTACCCCTAAGTCGAATGACGTCGCCGGACTGCGTTCCCCTGGGGATTTCGATCTCCTCGTCTCCTTGTAGGGTCGGCACGTCGAGCGAAAGTCCCAATGCTGCCTGAGCGATGTTGATGTTCTGGATGTAGACGATGTCGTATCCCCGGCGCCGGAAGAAAAAGACGATTGTGAGTCCAAGTACCCTAACGAATAAGTAAGGTCCCCGCCGGCAGTCCGCCGTACATGCCGGGCTCTCCCTCGCCCGACAAGCGAATCTGCGTGCTCGTCTCGATCCCGGCGGGAATGGTCACGACCAGCTTGCGGTCGCGTATCTCGTTCCCGCGCCGCGGCAGTTCGAGCAGGGTGTCGTGATGACCTGGCCTTCGCCGCGACACATGGTGCACGTCGAGACCTGGGTGAACTGGCCGAAGATACCCTGCTGGCTTCGGCGTACCTGGCCGGCCCCCCGGCACTGAACGCAGGTGTCGGGCGACGTGACCGGCTCTGAGCGTGCGCCCCGGCAGCGCGAGCAGATCTCGTTGCGACGGATCTCGATCTCCTCCTCGGCACCGAAGACGCCTTCTCGAAGTCGATGGTGATATCGACCTGAAGGTCGGCCCCCCGTCGCGCGGACGTCGCAGACCGGCGCGTGGACCCGCCGAAGAAGGCGTCGAAGATGTCTCCGAAGCCGCCGAAGTTCTCGAACCCGTCGAAACCGCTGCCGTTGGTGCCCGTGGCGATGTGTCGCAGGGTTGGCTGGGTTTGGTGGCTTGTTGTAGATACTAGACATGGCGAACGTGTCGTAGCTGCTGCGCTTCTTGGAATCGCTGAGCACCTGATAGGCCTCGTTGATGTCCTTGAATCGCTCGCTCGCCGCCGCATCTTTGTTGCGGTCGGGGTGGTACTCCATGGCGAGCTTACGGAAGGCCTTCTTGATCTCCTCGTCGGAGGCACCTCGGCCCACGCCAGCACTTGATAGTAGTCGCGCTTGCGCGTAACTGTCATGTTCCCGCACTGGACGGAACTCTTTTCATCGATCGTGCTGGCCCTATAGCGGCCACAGAGTGGTTTGTTCACCTGTTCCCGCGTAGCGATTCGCGGATTTCGAGCTCGTGTCACACTATGCGTGGATGTCTCCATGATGTCCCTAATGACAGAACGGACGGCTGTATTGGTCGCTATTGTCCTTGTCGGATCACCCAACTCTGGTGTTATGGTTTCGTCATGATTCGCGGTATTGCGAAGTAGAC